TTATTTAATCCTTATTAACGACTCTGTGAGGTAGGCATTTTACAGTTGGGGAAACTGAGTCACACAGCCAGTAATTAACCTGCCTAAAGTCACATGAAATAAGTAGCAGAGCCAAGAATGGAACCAAGGCAGTCCATGCTCTTAGCCACTCTGTATGGAGTTTAAATTTAGTGCGAATAGTCATCCTCTTCCCCCAAATCTTCATCTTCACTCTTACCAAGCCACTCACTTTTCTTTCTTTCCACATGTGAGCAAACTTTGCTGATTACCCTGAGAACAAACCGGCTCACGGAGCTGACTTTCCCCTGCATCAGCAGGTTGCAGCTTTTGCCTTTTACAATCTAACTAAACTCAGGGGTAAATCCACAACCACCACGTTCTTCCCTGGGCAAGTCGAAAATAGTAAGATCTGCATGGAGAAATATTTCATAGATATCAGCTGGTAGAATATAAAACAAAAACCAGCAAAAATACTAGGCCATTGAATTTTCCGTTCATAATAAGTTGCAGTGCCCCGTTGAGTTGTCTGTGTCACCCAATCCTCCCAGTTGTGGTCACACAAAGGCAACTTTGTCTCCAGAAGGCGACTAAGATGGGCCTAATCTTGGCAAGGGCTTAGTGTACCGAGAACCATATTATTATTTTAAAACCTAAATGACAACAGACAAAAAGAAATATAATTTAAGCCATTTTTTCAAAAGTCGCAGCGCTATTATCCTCATTGACATGGAACCCTACTGAAACATGAATGTTTGACCCGTGCTCGAAAGGCTCAAATACAGATTTTCAGAACGGAATCAAACTGATCTAAGAGAGCAGGAACACCTGAAAAAAAAATCCTCTCCGTTTTATTAAGAACTTTAGTACTTTTTTCTTTTTCTTTTGGCACGTGAAATGCTTTACAAAAATGCTTGAGCCAGGTCTCGGTGCTCTGAAAGGTTGATACTTTTTATTGTAATTTTCATAGGCTGGCGTTTCCTTGGTCAGGTGCAGGCGTCCTGTTCCTGCTTTGGTTGCACAATGCCCCGCATTCATTTGCACCCGCCCACTACCCACTGGTACATGTAGTTAACTCTTGCTCACCCATGTGTAGATTATCCATAGCTTTTGGGAACAGGCTGTCTTCCACCCCAGTTGGTGGATCCTCAGGGAATATGAGCCAAGTTGACTGTTAGCCAAAGCAAAGCACAACCAGGAGGCTAACGCTGTCAGCAACTCCCTGTCATTCGATATACACCCACCGGGACCCGACTATGGTCTTGGGGCTGGGCCACCACATTCATAAGAACCACAAACATATAGTACCCCCGAAGACAAATATCACGATTTGGGAAGACTGGATTTTGTTTTCTTGATTAATGTGACTAACTGCAATCTATACAGTGCATATTTTGCAGAACCAGGAATCTGCTGAGACCAGAGGATTGATATTTTCCCAAAACACAAAGCGTTTTCAGGGTTACACTAGCACTTTGTCTTTTCCTAAAGCCGTCTCTCCCAAATGGCCTTCAGAAAAGTAGAGATTGTGCTTTTGATTTCTTAAAATGACCCAACTCTAAAACCTCTGATAGGATGTACCAAAAGAGCTACTACAGTCAATCACTTCTATGCTGTCTGCTTGTTTATGTTTTGTATTTTACAAACATATAAACTATATACATCTAAACCCACCCACAAATTGTTTTTTACATAAACTAAGTTCCAGCTATGACAAAAATGAAGATTCACAACAACAAAAAAGAATGTTCATATTACATAGGGAAGTTACGTAAACCGAGCTGTGATTTTGTTTTTCAGGTGTCCTTAAACCACTGCAGAAAGTAGAAGAAAGGCAGAGAGTGGGAGTATGGTTGAAGGGCTTGTGCCTTTTGTAATCAGTTTACTTTTGGTTGTACCAAGAGATGATATCTTGAATTCATTCAAACTAGTGTCTATTGCAGTACACTAGGAACATTTGAATTACAAAACGGGGGGATGAGCCTCAAATTCCCACAGTTGCCAGTTCACCTGTAATCGTTTGAGGGCACTGATAACCTCCGTGAGAGCAGTTTTGGTAAATTTCACACTACTAACACTTTCAGAATTCACCTGGTACTTGTTCATTTATTCCTACACTCTCCCTTTCTACTTCCATTGGAAAATGGAAGTTTTTCCTTTCCCACAACTTTTTCAGAGCAAAAGATGAGAGATTCTTGAAAGGAGGTGTTCACTCACTCCAAGGGTAGGATATTCCTCCCCCCTTCCCCCCCACCTCCTCTCTCACCACATAGATGCGGAGAGAATAGAAGGGGAAGCAACTTTGGGAGAAACAGAAACAACCAGAAATCAAGCTCGGACTATCTCAAGGGTGTTTTACTGACAGGACGATTCAGGACCGCACACAAAAAGTGGCAGGATGCCAGTTGCCCCGACTCTGTCCAGCATGTTTCCAACAACCTTGAGGCGGCAACTGAGCAATTACTAAATCATTTATATGACAGTTCTCTGGAGGCTCCAAAGGCCTCCAATCGTGTAACCCAAGTCATCTCTGCATTGCCATTATTGAAAATCTTTATCCAATTGTTCTTTACGGTCATAACTCTGAGGGGGTGGGTGTTTTGACAAATACACACCTCTTACGCTATTAAGCCAGAAAACAGGCATCTCATAAGACAGAGACTGCTTTCAGGAGGAAACGCGTGTCTCCTAATCAGGCCAGTAGTTGAAACGTTGCAATATAACCTTTAACTTGGAAGCATTGTGACAGCACTTCAAGTTGCATTTAATGTACTCACTGTAATATCATAAAAGTTTGGCAAACAAATTCAACATTCATGCAAAATGTATCTAAGTCCCATGAATCCCAAACTTAAGCCCTCTTGACAGTAAGTTTTTTCTAGGATTATGTATCATCTGGGATAACTTAATTACAGTTTCACTTGAGCCTGGGTCCAATTTTAAGAAAACCTCCCTCCCCTCACAGCACCCCAGTACGCACTCCCCTACCTTCCCTGGAAAATCAGGGACTTAAAATGTGGCAGTGGAAACCTGTCTGAAAAAAAAGGCAAATACTTTTCTATAGCAGTCAAAGCTCAATCATTTGGGACATGATTTAATCTTGAGCCTCAGAGCAGAAATTGGAAAGCAAATCCAATCATTTTGCAAGAAAATAATTACATCTACTTTAACCTAATTTTTTTGGAAATCATTACCTATAACAGGTTAGATTAGCAAACCAAATAGTCCAGTCGGAATGTTTTTATCATGTGAGGGAAAAAATGTGAGTAGTCTTAAACACGAGTTACAGCAAGTGTAGAGAACACGTGTCCAGAAGCATGTAGCTCCCTTGTTTTCTGTCTTTATTTCATCCTCAATATCACCAACTGCTTGCAGAAGCTTTTCAAAATTTAGTCTAGAGCAGCACAGTGGGGAATCAAAAATAAGTATGTTGACTATTAAAACTATAGAGACTGATGTAAAATGATGATGCTGAATCCTCAATCTTATGAACTTCGGAAAATGCAATAACCAAAAGGAAAATAAATCTCTAAAATTTGATTGATACTCAGAATATCAAGAGTCAAAAAAGACTCTTGACCTGATGGATTTAAGTATATAGCCTAGTCAGGAAAAGGATGGCAGAGTTAAGCTAGAGGCTTTGTTTTTGTCAAATTATTTCTTCATTTGACACATACTGAAAGCTAATGATGAAGCTAGGGGCTTGTGAAATTTCTGATTCCCCATCCTCCCAGTATACTGTAGTAAGTCAAAGAGGCCAACGGTGTGTATATCAGAACAAGGTGAAGGGTAAGGTAGACAAGAAAAAATACAAAAACCCAAACTATCTCCTTTCCTTTCTTCCTCCTGTTTTCCTTTCAAACTGGGTTGATTTTGGTTCCCCCCGAGACTTCAGATCATCAATCTTACAAAGATTATTGTTTAATAGTAACACAAACCCCCACAAAGTGCCATCTCATTCCCTGGGCTTGTCTAGAGGTAGTGTTTTATGTCACTGACAAACCTTTCACCTTTTAGAATCCGCACCTGCAATTCTCCAATGCTCTGGGTCTAATTGCCAACCTTTTACGCTCAGAACTCCAGCAACCCCTTCATGTTGAGTTGTCAACACTTTGCTTTCCCTCCCCTGAAAAATTTGTATGACTTTGCCTTAAAACTTTTAAAGAATACACGTTTAATCTATATTGCTCCTAAAGAAAACTGAGTGAGTCATGAAAATACCACTAGAAAAAAAAAAATGCTTGATTTTTTCCTTCAAGTCAGTCAGTAATGGCCTATAAGCAAGTACCTTGAGGACGGTATCTTTTTTATCTTACCGTGTTGATAAGCCTCAAGAAAGAAGCCCATCCCCGAATGCCCTGAGTCAGTACCCAAGAGTAGTTGAACTTTTACCTAATTAAAAAATGAGTCATTTATTTTTAAAATTCCACTTCCATTTATTTTATCTGATTTCTTAAATATCCGGTGACTGCTGATTGTCAGATGTCAGAGTTCATCATTCCCATCTTTTCTACAGGTTGAATTTTTAACTAGAAACAACTAAACCTCCACAGAGCGTCACTTTCAGAGGGAAATCACTGCAGGAAGACCCCCCTCCGCCTTGGTTAGCACTTAAATGAGATGCCTCTCGCCATCAGCGCTTCCTCAATCGCCCTGCAACAATCTCAGTCTGAAGAGCCACCTGCGCCTCTGGGCAGCCCAACCATGTGTTTTCAAGGGTGAAAAAAAAATCTGTTTCTTTTATGGAAAAAGATTCATCACTACAGGACACCTGAATGGAGCTGTGTATGAATATCTGCTTTTCCAGAAGCTGACGCTTTTAAAATCCTTTTATAAACCCCTTATTTCCCACTAAATATACTAGAATTAGGAAAAGGGTGGTAGAATGAGAGAGATAAGGGATAAAGAGAGAAGAAAAAGAAACAATACATATTTTTCAAAATTGGGACCCAAATGTAAGATTAAGGGACAGCAGTTACAAGGATTGGCAAAAACCATCTTACCTTTGTTAAGTATTCGGAGTCGACCACTTCAGAAATTAACACCAGGCACAACCCCGTAGCGACTGACACAGCTGGGAAGTAACCTGCCACATCTTCGCCGCCGCCCTCTTTTTCATGCAAAACCAAAATAAGGAGTGTCCGGCTACTCCCCACCGCGCCGCTTAAAGCAACAGGTCGCTTTAGGCTCAACTCCCGGCTTCCGAGAGTCGCAGCTGGGCCGGCTGCCGACCTCGGAGCCCCGCACGGAGAAACTCTCCGGCCCCGGCCCCGCTTCCCACAGCGCCGCCTCCGCGCTCCGCGCCCGCCCCCCGCACGGCGGCGCCGTCTCCGCCCGCCTCCCTGAAACTCGCCAAACCAGATTTCTGCTCCCAGCCCCGCGGCTTCCCGTAACTCTGCCCTGAAATTTTACCCGGCGCGCTGAGCCTCCGCTGGCTGAAGGCCAGCGCGACGTTCCTGCTGCTTCAGGAGCGCGGCTACCTTTGCCGAAGGTCACAAAAAGGGAAAAAAGCGGCCTCGAAGGGAGAAATGCGGGGACTTCGCCAGGCGGACTTCTCTCCCCGCCCCAAAGTCACCGCCGTCCCGGACGCCCAGAAGCGGTCCCAGAGCGGCACCTGCTCCACCGAGGACGTCGGTCGGAGCCAGACGTCCGGCCCCCTCGGGGCCGTTCGGAGAAACCGAGCCGGACCTCGCTTGAGGAATCAGGAACCTGCCGTTGAGGCACAAGCCGATCGGAACCGCCCCCTCCCCGCCTCCCTAGTAAAGAGGTCGCGGAACCAGGTAGGACCTCGGGGAGCCCCGCGGCCGGCCCGACGAAGGGGCCCCCGAGCGCCCACCTGAGGCCCGCGGGGCCGGGACGCGCGGAGGGAGCGGACGAAGCCCGGCTGTGCCTCGGCCTCGTTTTCGTGCGCTCTGACCTAGAGTCGCAGCCGGTTTCTAGAACGGGAACGGAACGCGGCGTTTGGAAACCGCGCCCGGCCCGCCTCCACCTCGCCCGCTCGCTGCGGAGCTGGCTGCAGCCCCCGCCCCGCGCCCCGCGCCCCCCGCCCCCCGCGCGTTACCTGCTCGCGCCGGCGAGGCCGAGCCTGTCTGTGGGGCGTGATCGCAGCAGGATCGAATTCTGTGACTAAACAAACTGGAAGAGGAAGCAGGCAGCACCAGGAACCTGAAACGGAGTTGTGATTTCGGGTTGCACTGTCATTCAGCTGAGGGGCAAAAAATTTTTTCAGCGGGCAACTTTAGTGAAGGAATGTTCCAAAAATGTGTTTTTGCTGGTAAATAAGTTAACACAAAGAGCTTAGAACAGTGCCTGGCACACGGTGGTAGCTGCCGTCGTTGTTATTTATAGTATGGCTACTTTCTGAAGAGGAGAGGGTGTGGTCAGATTAGACGTGGGCTCAGGACCCAGCACTGCCACTCACTACTTGTGAGGCCATAAGCGAGATGTTTAATTCCCCCCCAGCTTCAGTTTCTGGAAGATTCTAATGATGGGATTTTTGCCAACAGTTTCCATTTATTGGAAAATAAAGCCCCTATACAGGGATGTCCAACCGAATTTCGTCTGTCTTAACAATTACAAGATTGACCGAAGACATGGAGATAAATTTGCCTGTACATTCCATGAAGCTTACTAACAAAAAGCAAACTCGGGACCCAGCAATCGACTGTGTGTGCTTAATTCTCTTGTGGATTTAGGCACTTGACCTGATGTCTAACCCTGGAAGAGTTACTTATCCTAGACTCTGCTGGGCAAATACTGACCATTGCCATTTGAGAAGCAGTATGAAATAGGGGGAAATAATTTTTAAATTCCTCATAAATATTAAAAAGATTACTGAAGGCGAAAATGTGATCAGTGCCTCCACCGCTTTTATCTTCCATCTAACTTTACATTTAAAGAAAGAAACCATAACCCCTTTACATTAAGGAGGCCCTTTGCATTTGATGGATCACTTTTACCCACCGTACCTTATCTGATCCTTACAAACTGATCTATGGGCTATTTTACCCCTATTTTGCAGAGGAAGACATTGAGGTCACAGAGGTGACATCGTTAGTCCAAGGTTTCATTGAGTGGTGAAGCCAGGACGGATGCTCAGTTTAATTTAAAAGCAGCATTTGCCACCTTTAGGAAAAATAATTCCTTCAAACCAGCAAAGAATTATGAAAAATTTTAAATCCTTTTGAGCTTTTATCTTCCTATCAGGCAAAATTTAACCCAGACTAATTGAACATTTTCTGAGTTTGAGATTCATTCCTTGTGGACACAAGTCAGCATGCGCTGTGAACAGCAGGCAGTGAGAAGTCTCTTAGGTTCTTTCGCCATACCTAAGGGTTGATGCTGCCAGGCATGAACGAGTGCTTCACAACCTTAAGGCAACTTGAAAACCCAGCTACTTATTAGCCTGAATTTTTCTTTTTTGTTTTTTTTGGAGACAGTCTCGCTCTGTTGCACCGGCTAGAGTGCCGTGGCGTCAGCCTAGCTCACAGCAACCTCAGACTCCTGGGCTCAAGCGGTCCTCCTGCCTCAGCCTCCCCGAGTAGCTGGGACTACAGGCACGTGCCACCATGCCCAGCTAATTTTTTCTATGTATTTTTAGTTGTCCAGCTAATTTCTTTCTATTTTTTTTAGTAGAGATGGGTCTCGCTCAGGCTGGTCTCGAACTCCTGACCTCAACCAGTCCTCCTGCCTCAGCCTCCCAGAGTGCTAAGATTACAAGCATTAGCCACCACACCCGGCCTGAAATTTTCTTTTCTCTTCCAGAAGTATCTGGATTGTGTCCTCGTGAGCCTCACTGTCAGAGAAGCTAAAGGATTCAAGAGGGGACATTCTCTGGCTCACAGATTTTTCTACCTCAGAATAGGTTTTTCCATAGGAAGCACTGGACCAAAGCCTTGGGGAGTAACAACCAGGAATAATAAAATGAGTTTGGAAGTGTGGAGGTCAGTGACTCCAGGTGAACTGGAACCGGAGTCAGGGAAGTTGCTGCCGAGGAGGCGCAGGTCCAGGAAGCTGGTCGTCATGGCAGTTCCAAGTCAGTTACCCTCTCAGATGTCGCCAGGCACTTCTGCCCCTTCTTCCTCAGGTTTGCCCACCAGCACCTATGAAATGCGTATATTTTTCTTCTTTTTTTTTTAAATTTTAATAATTTGCAATATGGAACACTTCATGAATTTGCATGTCATCCTTGCGCAGGGGCCATGTTAATCTTCTCTGTGTCGGTCCAATTTTTAGTATATGTGCTGATGAAGCGAGCACAGAAATGGGTATATTCTTATTCTTAACTATTTCCTACTGCCCTCCCTGGGAACATAGCAAAAATGAAACATTTTTTTTTAAGTGGCAGGCTATAGCAAAAGAAATGTGAACTTTCATTATTTTGGGGCTGACTTTGATGCTTGTTTTTAAATTATTATTATTATCATCATTTTAATTGTCAGGCAAACTCCCTTCTTCTGGGACATTTTAGTTTTCCAGACTCTGCCTTTTGCTTGCTGCTTCCTTTTTCCCCTTCTGCCTGAGAGACAATATTGTGGCGTGAATGCAAAGAGCATGGAAATTAGTTTCCCACAGAGTTGAGTTTGAATCTTAATCTTATCTCTGACCTATGTGATGCTGAATGAATTGCTCAACCACTCTGAGCTTCAGTTTCTTCATTTATAAAATAATAACACCTCTGGTTCTGGGTTTCTACAAGAGTTAAATGAAAGCTGGAATCTCAGCATGATTCCTGGCACATAGAAGGTACTGAAAAAATGCTATTTCCTTTTGTACCTGAAAAAAAACCTACTCCACAGCTCACAAAGAATTGTCTTTCCCATATTTAAGTTTTAGATCAAATAACACTATCCAGGACACCCTCATCAATACAGACAAGCCTCCAACCTCTGTAAAGAACCACAACATAATGATAATTCGTGTACACAGCATTTCCAGTGATATGTTAATTATGACCTTTGATCATCGCAACTGTGTGCTGTAAATATGGGTAAGACACAAATCGTTTGTATCACCCCATTGCTCAGATTAGGAAAGTGAGGTTCTCAGCCGTTGATCCAAGCTAGTAAGTTGCAGTGCCAGGTGTTTTTGTTTGTTTGTTTTGGTTTTTTTTTTTTACTGCTTTTCACTATTCTATACTACTGGAACGATGGCTATTCTTCCAATACCTAGTTAGGGAACAGAATCAAGGAGTTCCGAAAGATTATTGTACCTCTTAATTATGGGGAAAGGGCCAGGAGATTCCCACCAGAGCATTTGGACACTTCTCATTTTGGAGACATGCAAACCCAAAAATAACACCATCAAAGATCTGCGCCCTGTGTGAAGTGAATTGCACAGATGCTATGGAATAAGCTAACTCTACAGGGAACAGCAAGGTAAAGGGTTTGGGCTGGAAGTTGGGTTGATCAAAGTTTGCATTCGGGCAGTTGTAGGCTCATGGGCAAGTCACCTAAGTCTCTAAGCCTCAGTTTGCTGCCAGTGACAGCTCCTAACTGTAGGGTCATTGTGAAGGTCCAATGAGATGACACACATAAAAGCATTGTGCTCCACATGCTGTAGGCGTGTTAGTTATTTTTCTTAAAGATCAAAGACCATGTACTAAAATGGTACATGTGAGGCCTAAATAGAAAGTGTAGTAAATAAATGCAAAGAGCGTAAAACAATGCCTGGGACATGGTAATTGCTGTGTAACTGGTTGTTATTAATGCTGTTATTATTATTTCTCTGTATAAGAATCCTTGATGAAGGCCGGGCACGGTGGCTCACGCCTGTAATCCTAGCACTCTGGGAGGCCAAGATGGGAGGATCTCTTGAGCTCAGGAGTTCAAGACCTGAGCAAGAGCGTGACCCCGTCTTAAAAGAAGAAGAAAATAAAGAATGCTTGATGACGGAAGTGATATCATGATAAACAACTGACTTTTTGCTGGGGGAGGCATCTGTTATTAATTTCTTATGAGAGCTGACCTTTTAGGTACCATCTTACAATGTGAATAAGGGTAGTATCTTCTCAAGGGTTTTACTATCTGCCTGTTTCCCTCATTCCTCCTAACTTTACCTGAAACAGAAAAATTATTGCTGGATGGGATAAC